AGACAGCAGAGATGGGCTGGTGTACCTGAATGAAACAGGTTGTTATACTCAGACTATAATGCAAAAACTTTTTTTTACACATGATCACTTGATGCATAAGGCCAAACCTTATAAAAATGCAATTGTTAACGCACCCAATACACATTTAAAACATACAAATCCGGTCACTCAAACCATGTCAGGAGGTGGTCTGAGATGCATTTGAGCCACGTGTTACAGCAGTGTAAACGCATCTGTCTGTCCAAGACACATTCGACAACCAAAACACCTCTCGGTACAACCGAAACTCCTCCCCATGCAGTGTGCAATTAGGTGCATGATCTGGGCCTGCGAGGAAGGTAATCGTGGAGGACGTACATGGTTGGCGAAGGATGAAACGAAATGCTTAATAGCAATATAGACAGACGCTACTGTGCAAAACAAACTGCAGACGACTTATAAACACATGGCAAATGGTGCTGAGTTACAAGCAGATTTGCATATTCCGTCCCACACTGCAATCGATTTCAGTCTGACTACCTGGAGATGTATTTGACTACCAAGTGTAAATGCATGTGGCTAAAATCTTATCAGGATACAATCCAGAAACTAGTCACATGAAGTGACCAGGTGTAAACAGGGTCTAAAAGGTTAACGTCAGTATAATCTCGGGTAAACTCTTTCACAGAGTTTGTAGAGTCACAGGTTATTTTGATGCCCTTTATATAGATATCTTCAAATTATTAACAAATGGTCTGGACAAACTCAGTTGATCGTCAATAGCATTAAGCTTAAGATTAAGACCAGACTTTGGTTTAGGGTTTGCTTTTGGTTGAGATGAAGCTTAAGTTTAGCATTTGGGTTGAGGGTAATGTTAGGGTTAGAAGTTAGAGAAAAGATAAGATGATTTGAATGGATATTAAACTGAATAAAGACAAAGTAAACATCTACAAAACATCTACAGTGGACCATCAAAATAAAGTGTTACTGAAAAATAAGGCTATGATTCTAAACTTTCAGTTTCCGTTCTGGTTTATGAGCTAATCAGCTGATTATCAAGCCTTTCATGAAAAGAATCTGCTGTGTTTTTGCAGGAAAAAGATGAAATGGTCTTATGAAGAGACCCCTAAGGAGTCTAAAACTCTGAATTTAAGGGAGCGAATTACAGCTTGATTGTTCTATACTCAATCATTCCTCTTTAATGACTGTAATCATTAAAGAGCAATAATCTTCAACATCTCACAGTTATTTCTCAGTTGTAAATCACTTCATAAACCTACTCTTCCAACACCTGTTAGTGTTTTAAAAACATCACACATGTTATGATTATAGTTATCTTTTTTTTATTTTCATGGTAAGGTAATCATGCAACAGCAAAAAATTGTGCAAAATATCATGGTTTTCAATTCAAGTTACATGTTCTTAGCTTTTTCTAAATAAATATGAGACAGTCGATTGTAGAACTGGGACCAACTGATTGAACAGGTCCTGATTGATTTCAGTGAAAAGCTGCAGCCACAACGACTTTTTGCGGATAAGATTGGACACCCCGGCAGTAACTGATGCACAGTTGTCCACAAAAGTGTGAACACTCCTGGTCAAATGACATGTTTTGTTTATTTTCTAAGTGAAAACAATATGGCATTTTCTATCCATTTTAGGGCATAATTTATATATTGACACTGGAAAAAAATCAACATAAAAAAGTGCCATAACTTTTGCAAAGGCTTATTTTTTCCAATATGTTAAACTCAGCAAGCAAATAGTCATTGTGCATTAAAATGTGCACAATTGTGTTCTCTGTAGACAATCACTATACATAAACCACTTCATAGGAACAATTACACACACATCATCTAAACCGCTTATCCTTCTGGGTCGAGGTGGGGTGCTGGAGCCTATCCCAGCTGTCACCGGGCGGAAGGCAGGATACACCGTGGACAGGTCAACAGTCTATCGCAGGGCAGACAGACAGACAGACAGACAGACACACACACTCACACCTAGGGGCAATTTTAGCATGTCCAATTGGCCTGACTGCATGTCTTTAGACTGTGGGAGGAAACTGGAGTACCCGGAGGAAACCCACACAGACACGGGGAGAACATGCAAACTCCTCACAGAAATGACCCCAGTCACCTGGCCGGGAATCGAACCCAGACCATTCTTGCTGTGAGGCGACAGCGCTACCCACTGCGCCACCGTGCCGCCCCTTAGGAACAATTAATAAGTGAAAAAGCAGAATATACTGCACCTGCATTCTTATCAGTTATCAGCTGCTTCCTAAAATACATTGCAAATAGAACAATTCATGTATAATAAAAGGAAGTCAATTTAGAATGGACTGTAAAAGGTTGATGTTGTTTGTATGAGTGCATTCTGCTGCTCTGGTTCAGACCTAAACCCTGCATCATTCAAACATATTACTGAGTGGCTGCACTTGTATGTGTACCAGAATGCTTTAGGGCCCTACCGTGTAATAACACCATATTATTAAACTATTTATATGTGTTTCTCTTTTAGCAACTACTCTACTGGTTTTCTTTTAACACACTTCATTCTGAGGAATCTTCTGCCTCCACCCGCAAGAATCAATAGAGTTTGATATGTTTTACTTCATGTGGGTCTTAAATATTTAAACCATACTTCATATTGTTGTGCTTTTCATTCGCTTTGTTTGAAGAGTCACTAAAGGTGGGTGGGGGTGGGTTGTTTTCCACAGGGATCCCCACAATACTCCTCCCTTTTATTGTGCGAATATCATATTTCAAAAAGGAAAAAGAAACAACAGGGAGAGGGAAGTAAGTAATTTTTCTTGCCCATTTATGAAAAGCTCATTAAAAACAGCCAAAGAACAAACAAAGCTTTTCCTTTGAGGCACCCATTCAGAGTCGTCCCCTAATTTCCCTCTAGTTTTAATAGTTGAGATAAATTAATTATTCCTTTGTGGAAAATACATTCTTTGCCATCTTTGGCTCATTGTTCTAGCAGGAGAGAATGGTGCCTAATCCTGGGTGGAATAGAGTTTCCCTTCCAGCAGGGAAATCAGACCGCGCTCCGCAATCAACCACGAGCAGTCACAATTAAACCATTAAGAACGGCCTACAGGAGACGCTTTACACACTGTACATCTTACTAATGAATCCGGAGGCAACTCATAATTACATGGTTTTGTCCCGAACTGATTAACTGTCCACTGAAACTTGTCTCCGAATGTCATGAAACTTTTAACCTTCTGACCCTTCAAAACATCTCAGACCAAAATCAGTTGAATGATACAAAAAACAAAAGGCCTTCACAGCTAGAATGCGCAGTGTAGTGTTTTTTGTGTTAGAATGGCTGTACTAGTCAACAACCCTCTGAAACCATTTTTAAAGTCTGTTCCTTCATTTCACAGAAATATGAGCAATGCGCAGCTGTATATGAGCAGTTACTTCAGCAAAGGTCTTTCGCTCTACACACTGTGCAAGAACAATACACACACTCTCCTCTCGAGATGCTATAAAGTTTATATTAACAGAGCAATGTGATTCTTAAAATAGCACAATTCCCATTCGACAAATGGTTTTACTGCAGCATAACTTCCTACAGTAACAGCGTGTTATGGTCATGACCGGAACCAGAAAAACAGATAACTGAATGCAGTCTGATTACATACATTCTAAAGGGACAACTGCAAACTTGAATTTAATTTCTGTTTTGGCTACAACCAAAATGGCAAAACATTAAGGGTTTAATAGTCTTAACAACAAATCATTAAACAAGTAGGCAAAGCACCTTAGTATGGGACAGATTTTCCCTTTGATTTCTTTAAATGTTAAAGTCTTGTGCGTTAACTTGCAGACAGAAAGAAGAGTCAATATTGTTACAATCAGCATTTGTGGCTTCAAACAGTTGAAAAATATTGCTAAACTAGTTTGTGTTTATTGTGAGACCAAATATTGTCTATTACATATGTTTTGCATATATATTACATATGTACAGTTTTACATGTACACCACACAAAAATGGCCAAGTCCAAAATCTAATGTTTTTTACTGATGGTTTTGGCCAGACTTAAGCCCTATAGAAAATATTTGATCTATATATATACTTACTCTTATTTCTGATGACAGGAGTCTTTTTTGGGGGTTTAACTTCATTCTGTTGGTTCAGCTTTGGGACTGCTTTGCTGCCACTCACACTTCACTTTAGCATTTTATTTTAGACCAGAAGGATCAAAAAGAGAGAAACGCTTCAGCTCCTATGCAGACAGATGCTGGATGCACTAAGAAGTTCCAAACTCAGACTAGCAGATGTCAACAAGCTCAGTACTATAGGTTAATGACATTTATCCGGGCGATATTTTTTGGTTTATTACCATTTGAAGTCTACGCAATTCCATTTCTTACCAGACGATGGCGCCACTGTGTAAGAACAAGCGTTGAAAAACTGCATTGTCTTTCCGTCAAACGAGCACAAACCAGCCTCTGAACTTTGCGAAGGTAGGACAACTGCCAGTACGGTGGTATTAACTAAACGAAGTATGTATTGTTAAGATAACAGAAATGACATAAAACAGTAAAGCAGGCTAGGAAATATCATTAATAACAAGGCCATACAATAAAACAATAAGAGTGAGAATGTGTTTCGTTTTAAACATAATTGTCCACTGATACATTATATAGACCTTCTCTAAGTTTAGTGAAACAGAAAACTCTGTCCACACACATTAAAGTTTAGTCCTACATTTGACTTGAAAATCAGTAAAACAGATTCTCTTACTGGGGAGGACGAAACAGTGCTTGTGCAGGGCGTGTCACTGGCTGCTCGTAGGGGGATTAGTCCTGCATAACAAAAATCAACCTGAAAAAAAGCATAAAAAGCATATTCAACTGCAATTTCTCCTCCTTTACTCGGGACTCAGTATCGCGCTCTTCTGATTGGACGGATTTGTTAGTCCGCTTGAACGGAGCGCGGCACGAGTGGCTGATGATGGATTGACGTCATGTTGGGGGCGGGGCTCCGCTCGTTTTTTTATTTTTATTTTTTCACTGTCACAGTGACACATGTAGAGCAAAGCGAGGAGGGACGGCAGCACAACGCCGGAGATTACGAGCCCACACGCTTCATTTCTGACCACGCAGACCAGCAAAACGTACATGGAAATTATTGAGAGTGTTTGTGAGATCGAGTTGAGCGAGAATACGAGCGCTTAGGCTTCCCGAGAGAAGGAGAAGAGGCGAGAGAAAGCGAGGAGGGGACGGCACCAGTGGAAATACAATCTGAAAACTCCATTTGCTGAAGTGGCTCCGTAAAGCAAAGCTGTGCAGCACTGCAGCTCTCCAGCCTGTTAAAAGCCTCATGCCCCTGCAGAGCCTCCTCTGACTTTTATGGACATTTTTTCATTTCATTTCATTTTCAAGAGCTTTGAGCCCTGCACCGTTCACAGCCGTCCACGGGACAGAAAGCTTCAGCCATTGCATTTAGACGAGGCGTAAAAGAGGTGAGTCTGCGTTTTTTATGTGAAACTGAGTCCAAGTTGCGCTCTGTACAGCCATTGCACGCTTAAAGGTGTATCTTTTTCAGTTTACCTTCTGTAGGACTTCCTGTGGGCAGTGCGCTTTTATTGGCATGCTTAATTCAAACATCAAGACATTTCTAACTGTTAACTAACTAACAAATTTGGATCTGACACGACTTCTGATGCAGAGCACATAAGCACATTTCACAGCCCTGTCTCTAATGGCCATGCATTTCATAGCCAGTAACTGCAGAGGACATGCGATAATGTCAACTAATAAGAGTCACAAGTTACATTTACTTGGCTTTGCCCTGCGATGTAGATCATTCTTGCAAATGACTACACTCGAGTACATTTTCTGGAGCTTTTTAGGGTCAGTGTGCTTTGATTTATCATGCTTAAATCTTACATGGAGATACAGACATTGCATTAGCAGTTGCAGACCTGTGTAATGCCTGTGTTTTTGGATTTAGCCTTTATAACGTGCTGTAATGAGCAGACGGGCTGTGTGTCTGTTGGACAGCTCTGCCTCGCGCGCTCTTATCTCTTCTGTATTCCGTGCTTAAACTGCATGGCCGTGTAATTGCTTGAGTTCGTCCGTTTAAAGGGGAATTCCGCCGAGTTTTCAAAATTTCTGCATAATTCAGTGGTCAAGATATAAACAGCCAGTCAGAGTGGTTTGATGTGAAATAATTCATTTGTAGAGAAACTTACCGACTCGGATTTCTCCACAGTGGTGGTGATGGGAACCAGGTGTCCCGATGACTACAGTGCAAATATAGCCATTTTATTTACTATCCAAAACCACAAGTGAACCTACACGACACTTCTGAGTTTATAAAGGGTATGTAATGCTGATGATAGTAAAATAATGGTTAGACCTAAACTTTATCGCACAACTACCGTAAAACAGTGTCTCAGACCTGAAGCTGAGTATTCATAGCTCATTTCATGTAATAACTTTCTGTGAGGGAGCTTTTAGAGGTGGACGTCTGGTTCCTGTCACCAGCACTGTAAACAGTTCTGACTCGGTAAGTTTCTCTATAACGGAGCACTTCACACCAAACCACTCGAATGATTTTGTTTATATTAGGCCTAATTATGCAACATTTTCGAAAAATCGGCGTACTGCTCCTTCAAGTTAAAAGCTTCCCCCCTCCTCCTTGTTCAAATCCCCCTTCCTCTGTACCCGGAATGAAACTTGACGATGGTCCGATCTTATTTATCAGGAGGAGTCCCTTTCTGTCTAGCCCCTTTGATTCATCTGCTTTTAGATTTAATCAGCGCTAAGGTATTGCTTGTCCCTAAGAGCCTCCGCTAATGGGGTTTATACTGAATGCCTCTCTCAGTGCAACGTTTTTCTGCCCCCCCTCCTCCTCCTCTAATTACCTTTCAACACAGATTTGGCTTAGCCCGCCATGAAGGCTAGCCTGACGAAATTGGAAAGGATTAAAAATTAAAATATATTAACTTAGTTGAAGGGTGGAACTGAGAAAGATGCGCCGGTCGAATACCAATAGATGAGCAGATACAGCTGGCAGCGCTGAGAATGTAACGTCGGTGGCCGTTGCTAATAATACGGCGCGGAAAAGGACTTTACTGCACATAAACATGATTTTCACAAGGCTGGTGATATAAGCCGAGCTAATTTAGCTTGAAGCACAACACTAGTATCCTGCAGCGTCGAAAGTTCGCGATTTTTGGTGTCTGCTCCTTTATCCGATAACTGAACCGAGTGTGTGAACTTACCATACAACTTTAAGGGCCTCTCAGTAATCTCTGCTCCAGCTCTGTTAGCCTAGCCAGGCTAACTTGTGAGAAAACATGGACGTGAATAATAGCATAGCTGGGCTAATGTGCTATTTAAAAGCAATTTTGGGCGGCTCAACAAAAGCCAGCTCCTCTTTAATTGTTCCAGAGGGCCTGAATGTTATCAGTGAGCAGACATTCATCACCAAAGGACCACAGAGCAGACCTCAGCATTTAGATAAAGATCAAGGACAGATTAGTACTTCAGAAACCAGGGTGAGATAGGTTATGGACACAATCATAACATTTGAAGCCATCCTGCTTGCCAAAAGATCTTTGGCAGAGCAACACTTAAAAAAGTCTCACAGACTGATGAAAGGAACTGTTCCAAGTTATGGTGAACAGGCAGGTCGATGCTGAATGTAGGCCTGGAGGCATCAAAACTTTCGGTGAATATAAAAATAGTAGAGCTGAACTGGAAAAGGCGGTTCTGAGATCCTTCTGCTTTGTGTTGTTGGTTTGTGCTGATCAGATTACTCCTACAAGGTCACTAAAATTAGGTCTTTGGAAAAGTTTCCTTTGATAAGTGTAAGCAGTGATGGACTTTGTGGCATGATGGCCTTCTCCAAAGGTTACCATGTTAAGTTCACCCACAGTGTAAATCCTCTACATTTGAAAAAAGGAGTCAAAGTACACATACTTTGTTACCTTAAATTAAAATTCCTTTTTTTAGTTATATGTCGATACAGTGTCAGTTCATTTTAGTTTGTGAGTCAAACAGCCCTCTTGGTTCCTTTTATTCAGTGTAACGATGATTAACACATTGTCTGTTTGTGTGTGTTTTAGCAGGGACAATGGTGAACCCTGGAGGCAGTGCCCAGGCCGCACCTGTTGGAGCAGGTTCTATGTCATGGAAGAGGTGTGCAGGCTGCGGGGGAAAGATCGCTGACCGTTTCCTCCTCTACGCCATGGACAGCTACTGGCACAGCCGCTGCCTCAAATGCTCCTGCTGCCAAGCCCAGCTAGGAGAAATCGGCACCTCCTGCTACACCAAGAGCGGCATGATCCTCTGCAGAAACGACTACATCAGGTTTGCGCTTGACCTTCATATATATGTGTGTGTTTTGTGCATTTATAGGTCCTGACTCTGTAGGAAAACCAGAGCACAAAAGGGCTAATAAACAAAGTTTAGGACCAAGAAAATGGACCTGACTTTGTCAAGTGCTTTTTGCAGAATGTTTCATATTTAATGTTTTAAAAGTGTCTGGACAGACACTGATTTCTTTTTGGTAATTCAGATCAAGATTCACATAAGATTTAGCAAATTCTTAATATGTCTTTGTTCTTACATATATGTAATACAAATGGGACATTATTATCACAAATAAGTGTTTATATCTGTGCCCACATCCTGTTAGTGTATAAGCGTTTGTGTATATGTATGTATATGTGTGCCATGTTTTTATTTAAGAAGTATTTAATATGATAGTTGGTAAAGGCGAATGTCTTAGTAGTGAGTTGTTTGAGCTGAACGCATGGTGGGGTTAGGGGTTCTTCAATACTGTCACTGTGTAAGAATAATGAATGTTTACACGTAGGCAGCACCATGAAGATTGTAGAGATTGAGAAGTTAATAGAAGCTGTTAAAACAAAAGAAGTTTATGTTTATGGACACTATGACTCTTAATGTGGATCCTAAATCTTTGAAGAGAAACTGAGACAGTTTGTACATCTGGGCATTGAGGCAGTTTGACAGCCACATGAAATAACATTTGGAATGTAATGATGAGAAAAAGCGAGGGACATTAAGGAAAAAGTTATGAGGCGTTGGGCGTCCCGTGGAGCGCGGTGGATTTTCCATTGAGAACATGTGTGTCGGATCCTGCCACAGCGACGCTCGTTAAAACCTCGCTGGTCGAGTCCTCCCTGGGCCACTCTCAAAAAGAGGTCAAGCCTTGGACATGTTGACAGAGGCTGAGACGAAAGGGATTCCTTCTGCAGAACATCTGCGAGTCACCATGTTTTTCACAGTGAAAGAGGTAGCCACGGTGCAGGTCCGCGTGTGTTTGCTTTACGAGACGATAGAAGACTCTGCTGCCAGGCCGAGGCTAACCTTCGACTCTGCAGGAATTTAAAGGGGTTTTCTCATCCTGTCCGACATGTTTGTGAAGCAGAAAGAGATGATTTAATTAGCGAAAAGGGCCTTTTTAAATATTTATACAAGGCTGTCTGACAGAGAGAAGGCTAGGTGACTGAAGTCTCACTCGCCTAATGTGGATGGCCTGATTTGACAGGACCATCACTCAACACTTTGACCTCTGGAAGGGCAGGTGAAGTGCTTTTGGTCATGAGAAGTTCAGTCTGTGCATTTGGTTTAAGAGTGGAAATTGTACATATCGTACATAAAATTGTTTTGGGGGGTTGAAAATATTGAAAATCAGGTAAAAGTCAGGTAATATAATGTTTGTATTGTAAGAATTATAGATAGATAGACAGATAGATAGACAGATAGATAGACAGTTAGAGAGAGAGAGATAGTGAGAGAGTTAGATAGATATTTCATTACTTTTTACTTCATCTGTAAGCCTCTACAAATAAACATTATATTTCTCCGTAATTGACGTATTTGTCGTACTGTGGAAGAGCAGAACGTGCAGGCGACTTGGGTTACTGTGCTAAAATATGCTGGACATTTTATTCATTTTTAATGGACTTTTCTGTTACACTTCTCTAGAATGCTAATTCAGGCAGACCTAGTCCAAATTTCTACCGTTTATAAATGTTTACGCGTGCCTAAGTACATGGAGAATATCGGATATCGGTATTGGGCCATAATTCCCACATTGGTACATCTCTAAAATAATATCAGATATCGGCTCATGATTCCCATACTGGTGCAGCAGCTGAAGAGCGTCTCATTTATAAGTTTCATACATACTGTGCGAGTCTGAAAGGGCAAAGCGACATATCGCCTGTGATGTATTCTAATCTTCCAGGCTGTTGGAGAGAGAGTGTTTTTGGCTGCAGTGCAGTCATTAGTGTGTGTTTACCTTGGCTCGCGATGTGGGCTGGATCGTTTCAGTGAAGTCTCGTTTCCACACTGACGCTAACGCTAACGCTAACTCTAACTCTGCAGCGGCAGGTGTGTGTGTGTGCGCGTGCATGCGTGTGTGTGCCGGGGCAAACCTGAGAGGACGAGTCCGAATGTGAAAGAGAGTGCCTTCACTCTTTCCACTGCACCTGATCTGCAGGGATCAAATCCACGGGACTCCTTCTCACGGGGTAATGGGCCTACACCCCTAATTAAAAAGAACAGGCTGGAGAAAAGTGCCTACACCTTTCTCTTTGTAATGAGCGTGCAGCTCGCACAAGCCTGTGATCTAAGGAGAGATAAGAGAGAAGGACGAAAGAGGTAGAGAAGGAGGGGGAGTGAGGGAGAGAGAGAGAGAAAACATCTGACAGTGAGTCCACACAATTAAAAGCTTTAATTAGAGTCCCCCTCCATTTTCCTTTAGTCCTGATGGGTTTTATCTAATGAGATCTAGTCCCTGGCTCCGATTCGCTTGCAATGACGTGTCCGAAATGAATGAGGGCCACATCGCAAACAAAACATTTAATTAACCAAATTGGCTTTTGAGAGAGAGAGAGAGCGAGAGAGAGAGAGAGCGAGAGAGAGAGAGAGAGAGAGCGAGAGAGAGAGAGAGAGAGAGAGAGCGAGCGAGAGAGAAGGGGAAAGAGAGACAGGCAGAGAGAGGGAGAGAGAGGAGGGGGGATTATTGCGAAGGCCAGTCCTCTGTGAGGGGAGGAGGGGGTGGGTTTAAAGGGGCCTGTCTTATTTTTGTAATGGATTATTAAATTGGCCTTGCAGTGTAAATAATGGAGTTATGTATCCTGACGGACTTATATTAATACCACTGAAGCAAAAACACTCACCCGATTGATTGGGACACAGGACTGAAAATGCATTGCATTTCCTCTAATGCAAGATGAGGTGAATGGCCTGGGATGATGCCCATCTAATTTCAATCAGGCAGATGCCATGAACACCATGCACAGGGGCAACTGCTGTCAGCCACGCTGGCGCTGCCACTTCAGATTTCAGAGCTTTAACCCACAACAGCCAGAAGACTCTGCAAAAGGTCAGCTTTACTTGGCCGAAAACTTTACAGACTGTAAAGGCTTAGAGATGAAAGAGTAAAGCGTATAGTATTAGATTAGTCTGTATTAATAAACGGTAGTTTAATAATGTCAGATTCAGTGTAGTCAAGGAGTTTTTTCAGTTTAAAACATGGACACTGTTTTTTACAGTGGACTTTCAGCCATTTGGCCATTGATGTTTGGCCAGATAACGCATCACCAAGTATATGGTAATAAATCTGAGTAATTAAAATCTGATTCTGAGAAGGAGTTTTCACAATTTAATAACGTTAACAATGTGCTTTTCCATTCGGCCATTGACGTTAAGTTGAATCAAGTGTGCAGCACTAAGCTGATAATAAAACGTAATAAGATCTGATTAAGGAGACTTTGCAGTTTAATAATGTAAATAGTTCAGCCACTGACATCAAGTTAAATTGTGAATCAGGTGTATGGCACTAATGCTTAGCAAGCAGTAAATATGTTTTAATAAATTAAAGTTTTAAGCAAAATCAAACTGAATAATATGTGATTCACTGTTGGAGTCTTACAGTTTAATAACTTTGACTTTTTTTGGAACATTTTCCATTTGTCCATTGATGTTAAGTGAATGTGTGAAATTAGCGATTAGGTTTCACATCCTGGCTGTTTTAGTTCACTTCTTTAAGCTAGATGAGTATGATTTTGTGTAGGTTTTGGAGGATGGGATAGAGAATTCATTTAGATAGTGTCTAACCACATGACATAATAGTGTGGGGGTGGGTTCTGTCCCTTTAATTGAATAGACCTGGGTAATTAAATGGCACTTTTCCAATAGGATGTGCTAGGTAAATCTAATAGTTGGTTATTTAATATCACTTTGAAGTTAGCCCACTCGAGCACCATGACAGCGCACGAGCATGTGAACTATTAGGCCGGGAAAAACTGGGATCTCCGAAATTAATTAAATCGCATGCAATTTAGGGGAAACGTTTATCTTGATTTGTCATAACAGAATTAATTCAAGGCCTTCAATCCACTTGGGACTAGATCTGTTACTCTGAATTAACCAAGTGTAATTTGGCTGCGTTTTTTGCCCCCTCCCTCCCCTCTATCTCTGTCTCTCTTGCTTGTTCTCTCTCGCTTGCTCTCTCTCTCTCTCTCTTTCTCTCTCTCTCTCCTGCCTCTCAACCCCCCTTCACCATCTCTTTCTCTAATGTAGCCTTGCCATTATGCAAAGCCGGGCTTAAGTATCAGGCCCAGTGCTTTTAAGGTGCTTTGGCTGCTAATGTTGAGAGGCATTTTTATAATGGACTGTGATGCAGAAATCATTGTTGTACTACCTTACATCACTCTGCTCGAAAGGTTCTGCCTAAGAGGCCAGCATTTGCCAGATGGCCCTAAATTGCTCTGCTAGGTTGTAATTCACCTCACAGTCAGCATCCAAATTAAATCCAGTAGACGTCGTCTATGGAGTGTAGACAGCTCCAAATATTTTTTTTTTCTAATAAAAGACAGACGTGGCCAGCACTGTCTGTTTTATCCCTCTGCTCTGAAATGGAAAATGTTAATAAATCAACATTCCGTGATGTTTCGTTGACAAGACCATCTTTCGTTATGTATGATTGATCGCCGGAGTGAATTGCACGGAGGAAGAAAAGAACAACAACAAAGGAAAAAAAGGCGGAGAAAGCAGCGATTTGCAGCGAAGGAGGTGAAAAGCAGTGGTGTCATTGCAATTAAAGAGTCCCCTGGCCTTAATTATACTGACCCAGGCTAGCTCTCCCTTCCTCTCCTCTGTGCAGGAGTTCAATGGAGAGAGAGACCATTAGGGGCCAGGAGCAGACTGATAGCAACTTAATTGAGCACCTAATGCCTTCAGGCCTTTAAATCAAATACTATCAGGAGCCATCCCCTGGTCAAATAATTAACCTGGTATGTATAGCGTGCACTGATAAAATGAAAGGGTTGCCTGGAGATTGTTTCTCTAAGTCTTTCTCTCTGTTTCTCGTAAAAGACATCCACACAGGGGAAATTAAGGAGAGAGTTGGAGGAGAAAGAAAAAAAAATAAATAACATGTAACTGTAAATAACGAACTGTGTGAGTTGTGAAGGGTGAAGAGCGCCAAGAATCTTTTTCCAAGCGAACGCCAATGTCGAGCCCAATCGCTATCTGAAGATTAGGGCAGATGCCATTTTCCAGGTGAGGCAAACGGCAGCATTTAAAGATATCCCTCTGACATTTTCCCCGGCTCGTCTGTTCAATTTGCGCCATCGAGGCTGCGCTGTTGTCACAGGCCTAAAGCTAATTACTTTTGAAATTGAGTTTTGATTGAGCCTCTCCAATCGATGCCACAGCAAAATTTGTTTCTCCGCTCTCCTGTAAAGCAGCCGTTTGAGGGCCGCTATTAAAGCTCCACTCATCGGCAGAACATGCAGCTGTATGCAAACCAGAGAGCGTAATGTTTTGAACATTCAAGGGACTAGAAAAGCAGCCTGTTTCAAAGGAAGTGGAGTTGAAATGCACGTCCAGTGCTTAGAGGAAATGAGCGTCTTTCATTAGGAGCAAAGAAATGGTTGACTTCTTGGGTTATAAAATGAATCTACTCTAGGGCTGCCCAGTATAATCAATTGTTAATCAGTATTGGCAGATATCGCATGAGGCCGCAGCATGCAGACAAGCCCTCTAACCAGTCAGTAAAAGGTTTATTGGGTGCTGTGATCATCCTGACCAAAGTTTAGATGTTCCTTATGACTTTCTGTGTAAAAAAAAAAAAGGCAAAAAATGTGAAGAAGTTTGGTTAGGATGCAGGCGAATTGTGAACCATGTTACATGAAACGTTCAGTAATGCGTTTTTTTAAGTGACATTTTATCATAGCATAATCGCAATATGGAATTTCGACCACATCCAGCAGGCCTAATCATCTCTCATGCAACGTTTTCTCATCAGTTCTTTGATGCAACTCTCGTTCTGGAACGTGATCTCTCTAGCTTTATCCTTTCCTACCTTGCACTTCTTTCAATTCCCTCCTTCCTGCCTTCCACTTTCCCTCTCTTTCTTCCTCTCTGCCTTTTCTATCTCTCCCTCTCTCTCCCTCTCTCCCTCCCTCCTTCCCGCCAGAGCTTGTCAGATGCTGTGGTCTTATTTGATTGCATAGGAAAAGTGCAGTGATAGAGCAAACACCCAGTGAGATATGATGACAAATGGGTCCAGATCCCAGTAAATTACTTTCTGCTCAAATCGAAATTTCATTCAGTTTGTTGCTCGGCGAGATGAAGTAATCTAAATTGTGGACTCAGAAGGCAGATAGAAGGGAAGCAGGAGCAAGCATTTCATTATCAAGAGGCAGGGAGAGAGAGAAGGTTAGAGACGAAAGAGATGAGCAGGAGCAAATCTAAAGTGTTGACACCATGATTGAAAAGGTTAACCCATGCACATTATATATCAAGCCGAGGTAGCCGAGGGTTTCTAATGGAAACGCGCCAGTGACGGAGCGCCCGGCGCACTGCTAATGGCAAAAGCACTATGTCTCCGCCTAGATGTACAATCAAATCCTCTTAGGCCCTGATTGCTTATGTTCCAGGTTATTATTAGGTAGCAAAAAAATGGGCGCCAAAGGTAATACTTAGGCTAGTTCCAACGCCAGAAGCTTTTGCAGGACAGGACAGAGGATTTTTCATTCGGATTGCTGGTATTACACTGATTTTATATTTTCCAATATCAGAAAAAATTGAAGTTGTCATTTGTTTCCGTGCCTGCGTGTATGTGTGTGTATGTGTGTTGACATTGTGGTTGCTAGAGGCGCAGGGCTGGAATGTTCTGAACTGAGCCTGGCCTTGGTGCTGTAGGATTTCATTATTACAGAAAAGTGTAAACCTGCCAGTTAAACAAATCTGCATAGTTTATGTTTGTTATGCATACATTCATTTGGGCTTATCTGATTTATGCACACAGTCGTTTTGAGAGCTAAAATCAGAAACATCTAACTTACATATTAGTTACATAGTAACTTAATGTTTGTCTCTGAAGTTTTAAACCTCCTTTGGTCCATATGTTCCCTGAGCTTGCTTGAGTCATTTTTCAAATTGAGAACATATGGCTAAGCCACAAGTTTGAGCCACAAGTTTGTTCGATGGCTAAAGCTTTTGTAGCTGTGTCTTTGCCACAGGTTTACCATCTGTCTCTGTCTGTAGTTTTGCTAACAGTCTGGGTTTGTGTGTTTGTCCTGGCAGGTTATTCGGGAACAGTGGGGCATGCAGTGCTTGCGGTCAGTCCATCCCAGCCAGTGAATTGGTCATGAGGGCACAGGGAAATGTGTACCACCTCAAGGTAACTTGCCTTTCAAACCTGAACCCCCTTCTTGAAAATGCCCACATTATCCGTATTATGTTTATTTTTTTAATGAAGTCATATCACAATACTTAAAGGCATTTTCACAATACAAAGTACATGGTTTGACACACAGCACAATGTACCAGTAGTGCTACATTTAGAAAGTCATTAAGTACAATGATTTTTGTTTAACATTTCACATACTGCACTGCACAAAATCCAAAGAAGGCTAATTATAGCAGTTGGTCAGGGTTCTTTGATCCATGATATGCTCAGAAAAACATTATCACAGTAACAACATTTATCTCAATAATGTTAAAAATGTTCATGTTGCTCACCACTAATTGTCAGTGTCATATCTAAAGCTCATAAAGTGTTCCTTGTTTGTTTGTTAAACTATATGAAAACACCCAGCTGGTGTTTGGTGGGTGAACATTCCGTGACGAATCGACCAATAGAAATGGTACAAAATTACTTGGAATGTAATGTCATTATATCAACACATATTCAAGTTCCAAAAGTGTTTTTTTACTGCTCCATTCCAGTTTTTCTCTGTTGACATTTAATTACATTGCCTAGGATTACAATATATAATATTTATAGTATATACATTATTAGTGTATAACATACAATAATATTTCTCTTAGTCTGCTTACATGAATCTTCTTTTACAATGATAAACACCCAGAATTTGGAGGAATCATCTTTTATTTTTTTCCATATGTAAATGTTTCGTGTAATTATGTGGAAAATTATAATTATCAACAACTGTAATTGTAATCATGCATAATTTACGTAGAAAATTATCTTGCCTGATTTTTATGTTTCTCAAGTTGTGAATAGGTGTGCATATGTGCATGTGTATGTAGGTGTGTGAGGGTGAGAAACAGAGAGAGTGAGAGTGAGAGTGAGAGTGAGAGTGAGAGTGAGAGTGAGAGTGAGAGAGAGAGAGAGAGCTTATGGGTAATGTAGTCTTTTCTCCCTCTTTGGCAGTGTTTCACATGTTCTACCTGCCGGAACCGGCTGGTCCCTGGTGACAGGTTCCACTACATCAATGGCAGCTTGTTCTGCGAACACGACAGACCCACAGCGCTCATTAACGGCCATTTGAGTTCACTGCAGACCAACCCACTACTGCCCGATCAGAAGGTGAGAACAGCTCCTGTGCCTCCTGCCAAAACTACTCATGATTTCATAAAGAACACAGTTATATACCAAAGCAGTACACTAGATCTACATCAGATGACTGACTATACATTCTTGCTATATATGAGCCCAGCTCTCCCCCTCATTAGACTTGTATGCTGTTTGTCTCTAAGCCCCTAGCTTAGCATTTATATTTATCTACATTCATTCTAAGTAACTAAATGTCTCATAGTTATTGAGCGAGGATGACACAGGAAGCATGACAGCAGCAGAATTGCTTTTTAAAGGGGGAAAAATGACAGCGGATCTAAAAGCACTTTAACTTGTTCGCCAGAAGCCCTCAGGCCCAAGGTCAGGCCTGCAAGACAAGAGCAATTCAGTCTCGCTGAAAGCTAATTTGTCACAATTAATGTCAGCTCCCTAAAATGAGAAGACTGCTAACGCAAGCTTGGTGTTGGTTAAGTGAGAGAAAAGGGGGTTGGCAGGGGGGCAGCATGGAAAAAAAGTTCCCTACGTAATTCTGCTGCCTTCATATTTCATACTGATTATGTATTGATGACATTGATTCATTTACGCTTTACCGCAAGACCTGCAATAGATATTAAATCTTATTGACCAAAGACAAATTTTAATTTTGCGCGGTGGATAGATTTTCCTATCATTTGTGATGACGCAGGTTTGAATTTTTAACAGTGGTGGATGCCAATCAGCAGATTTTGACTTATTGCCTTAGTGGTCAAAATGTAGTATCACCTGGCCTTTACTAAATATGTTCAGTCCTGTTAAATTTTTCAGATGCTTTTGTTTATTAGTCTTCTGCACTGCATTAATGCAGGTTTAATTTTTTTGTTGTATACAAGCCTGGTAATTTGGTCCTCCCCATGCAGCAGAGTACGCTTACAAAACACAAAAATAAGACCAAGTTAATCACTTAATTCCTGCTCTGGCCTTTTGCAGGGCTGTGCAATGCGATAACATTGTTGCTTATTCTAGGAGAAATAAATCCTGTCGAATACACAAAATTTCAGTCGCACTTGTATGAATAAACTTTATGTCTAGTGTACATATATTCATTCAAATAGTTTGTCAAGTCCTCTGACTCATGTAATGTAGTTGTGGTCAGTTATGTGTGTGGTGTGCAATATCAAATATTTCCACAGTAATCGTGTGACCCAGGTCACGTTATGGCATTTATGGTAGTTGTCCATCAGGTAGTTTGAACACTATAGAATAAGTCTAAATATCTCTAAACAAAGGACCTGTCAAAAATGTGCAGATTGTATAATGGTTGAGGCTGGAATGTCACGTCAAGCTGTGTACAATTTGGGTTTTACCGTTTGCCTGCTCAAAATATTAGTAAGTTTAAAAATGTATTTGGATTTAGGAGTTGAGGCATGCCCTTCTGTGTTTATTGTCTTATTTTTATTTTTATTGTTTATTGCCTTTTTTACTGATTAATGTAAAGATGATCTTTTATATAACACAGAGCCTAATAAACTATTTCTCTTCTGTTTTGAAATCTGTGGCAGCAACCACATGCACAGTCCTGCTGGTTTGGGTTCACGTGTGGGTTTCGTCTTTTTCAATGATGCGCATAAATGAAACTTGAAACTTGAGTGCTTGTAGTGCCCCCTTGTGGGAGACCAGAATAAATGTGGAGAAAATCAGAAAATAAACATTAATATTAAAATATTTACATGCAGCTTTTTTCACAGTTAAAATGGCAGATTGTTCCAATAACTGGGATTAACACTGTTTAGAAGAATTTTATGTTTTTAATTCAGTGGTATAACATTTTCATTTGTGAATGCAACTATCCTAGCATCAGCGCTACCTGCTCAAAAAGTTTACATACAGCCCAGCCTTAAGGACACGTCTGTGTGTAGTGTATCAGCTTTAAAAATAAGGGCTTAGTGACACATAATGAGTATCGATACAGAGCCAGAGCAGGTGTGTGAGATCGGAGAGAGAGGGACTGGGTCCAAGGGCGAGTGTGTATGTGTTTCAGCATGCAGCGAAATAAGGAAAGAGGAGAGGAGAAGAAAGTAGAGCTGAGAACACGAGAGAGTAACAGGAAGGAGGTGCAGTGCGAAGGACTAAAAGGACTGAAGAAGAGTAGATAAAGAGAGGAGAGGAAAGTGAAGAGGAAAAAAGAGAGAGGTAGATGAATAGTGGAAGAAGTAAGGAGAGAGAGAGAGAGAAAGCGGGAGAGAGCTCCATTAAGCTCAGTATTCCGTCAGAAGCCTTTTAAGGGCTCGTCACTTTTACAAATCAGCACTAAGAGTGCCTCGCGTTTCAAATTGAAAGCCTTTGCATTATCTAGCTTAATTTTAAATGTCTGTTTAAGCCCCCCTCGTGCCCCTCCCCAGCCTGCTCTCGCTCCGCGGCTGCCGCGGTAAATATGAGGCCTCATTGTTTATTTATGTGCCGACATCAATTGTAGTGAAAACAGCTGAATTATTAATGCTAAAATGCAATCTGAATATTGGCCTCGCTGCTTTAATTATAGCAGGGAGAGAATTCTTAAATACACACAGACGCCTCTCTCCACTTGCCAAAATAAATAAATAAATAAAAGAGGTCCAAGTGTCCTCAGCAGATGCTTGAAATGAATGATGCTTTCCTCAGCGCTCAGTATAGAGAGTTATTAGGAGCCTCAGCATGGGCCTAAAGTGCTTCCATAGTGGAAGTATGTGAGAATAGACTCCGCTCTACCTCCACTCTAAACTAGGGCTGGGCGATATATACCGCCTGTGCTAATATACCGATAGCGATGTAGCACAACAGTATTGATTTTCAGCTATAGCTGTACTGATGGACGTAGTTATCTGCTGTAGACATGTTTGCTGGGTGGTTCAGATTGTTTTGAAAGAACACTGCAGAATACATAAACCCTAACTGAAAAGTAAGTTTCCTTTGTAGTTTTGGCAGAAAATATAATGATCATTATTGTGAGACATTTTTTCTAAGCATATCCTGGATATCATTAGTGCTTAGAAAACACTGACCATCTGCATGTTTTTTTTTACCAAAAAATACGGACATAAATAGTCCTGATTAATTTGATTTAGTGCACTGCAGTATGTTTAAGGTTGAATAAAAATCATTGTATTCGTAGTTTTTCAGAGTATTTTTAAAATGTGGCACTATGTGGGACTTTTTTGTCTTTTCCAACAAAAACAAAAATTGTTCTATAATGTTCAGCATTAATACAGCAACTCGAGCAAAGACTAAAACAAAACTGCAAATAAAGAATAGAATAAAGAAAAGGAAAAACATTGCATTGTGAAAATTAAGTATCGTAATATTATTTTTTTCAATTTCACCCACCCACATTTTCTGGAACTATGTTTCTGTCTATTTTTGAAGTTTAATCGGCCCTTCTTTGTTAATAATGTGATTTCTCAGCGTTGCTGTTGCCTTTTTGATCTTACAAAGCTAAAAATTCGTAGAATTTTATTCAGTTTGTAACACAAAGTACATTTTGACATTTTTTGACACGTCGAATCGACTGTTTCGCTCTTGCCAACATGCACGCACTGTAACTCCTCTGGCAGCAGATTTAAACAAGTTTAAAGGGCCAAAGTCTCTTATGGATAGACAGTTTATGTTACAAGTAGGGTTCCCTTTTATAAGAGATGGACAGAACTAAATCGCTGTTGTTGGAAGAAAATCTCGGATCTCCATTTTTGACGTTTTTCCGTTTTTGACACAATTCGAAAATGCCTTTTTTGTTACCATTTACATTGTCTTTAAATTTCATGATGAATGGACCAAAAGAAATGACCCAAAATGACTTGGAAAAAAAGTCGGGTTCCATTGACTTACATTAAAAGTAAAGTAGGTTTTTTCCTGCTCCTGTGAAGTTATCATTTTGGAGATACAAGGTTTTCTTCCGACAACAGCAAAATAGTGCAATTAAAACAGGTTATGTTGGGTTTGCAAGACGTCTTTTTGCTTTTAACCTCTTTAGCAGCCCTAAGGAATCATGAGTTCATTAAGTTTCTTATAGTAAATTTGAACATCTCGAACCGTGATACTGTTACATATGTGGAAAACATTGTGATTGTGAGTTTTATCAGTACCACCCAGCACTACTCTGAACTAATCATGAGGCCACAGTAATCAGCCCAGCTCCTCCAAACGCACAGAAATACAGCGTGAAATCTATGCAGAGGAAGTGCAAACAGGAGAGTGCTGAGAGAGAGAGAGAGAGAGACAAACGCTCCCTCACTTTGGCGGATATAAGGTCCCGTCTGGCAGCCATTGTTTTTATTATCTGCGATTTCATGGTGACATAATTGGTGTTGTCCGTGTCGGCGGCTCAGGACATTTGATGCTCATTTATTAAGTAGGCTTCCCAGCTTCTCCCTAATCTCTTTGTTCAGGACAGACAAATTACCTTTCTCATGCTGAGCCCGGACCCAAGGGAACCAAAACCTTCCCAGCCTCCGTCTCCTTAATTAGCCCCCGAAAGTGGGGGGTTTTGCAATTACTAATAGACTGAAACCCTCCTAGTAACTTGAGGAAAGAGAGGAAAAGTAAATTGCCCCCTAGAATGTTTAAAACAAAAGGAAAGAGAAAGAGAGAGAGAAAAATGAGAGAGAGAAAAAGAGAGAAATTTAAAAGTTGGTCTTGAGTGTCTATGAAAGCAGAATGCGGTTGCTTAGACGTTGGTATAATTGTCCCTGTTGCTCTGCTTTACAGAACCTTAACACCCTGGGGGCTGTGCTGAAGCATTGTTCAAACCGAGACACAAAAAAGAGACTAACTTCATAAAATGTGCTTTAAACTTAATGCAGAGGAAATAGGGCAGCAGATGGTTTCCAAAGCCTCGCTGATCAATAAATTAAGCGGGGGCTTAGTGGAGCTGGCAGTGCTGAATGCCACCTTCATTAGACTCGAAAATAAGGAGGGAGCTATTTTGGAATGCGTCTGATTTTTATGATATTACCACTTTTTAAATTTTTTTAGGGACGCTGCTTAGATGTAATGTACTGTGTTATTACTGAATGTCTTTACAGACTGAAGAGTATTTACCTCATAACATCCAAACATTTACATTAATGGCATATAGCATTAATTGGCATTAATGGCATTTACATTAATGACATATAGCAGACCTTACCTTATAACATCTCCTCAGCTCCTCAAATGAGATGCATGATTTGGATTGCGTGACGTCTGACTTGAGCAGGTTGGCACCGTTTTTGGACATGACTAAAGCAACCTAGTAGAGTTTTTGGACACGTTTGTCTCTTAAGGTAGCAAGTCACTGTCTCTTGTTTGAACTTGAACAGTAATTTGGCCGAATGGTTGTAATTTAGCCCGTCTGGTTACACTGGCCTACTTTAGAATAATGTTTGCTCTGTTCTGAGTGTGTCTAACATGTCATTTGCACTCTCTCTCTCTCTTTTTCTCTCTCTCTCTCTCTCTCTCTCTCTCTCTATATATATATATATATATATATATATATATATATACATATATATATATATGATTTTGTATATGATTTTGTCTCTCTTTTAATTTGTTAATTCTCTTTCTCTCCTCTCCCTCTACCTCCCTTTTTTCTCTTTTTCTCCAATCTCTCTCACTCTCTATCATTCTTTCTATATGTACCTCTCTTTCTATTTTTGTCTCTTTGTTTTTTTCTCTCTTCTCTCTCGCTCTCTTTCAGTTTCTTTCCATTTTATATCTGCTCTCTCTCTCTCTCTCTCTCTCTCTCTCTCTCTCTCTCTCTCTCTCTCTCTCTCTCTCTCTCTCTTCTCTTCTCTTCTCTCTTATTCATTCTTTGTATTAGAAAACAGCAGCAATAACTACAACAATGACAATAACAACAACAATTCTCTCTCTCTCTCTTTCTGTCTCTCTCCAGGTGTGTTAGGAGGGAGGAGTTGTTACAGTGGGACGTGTGCCTTCATTCCAACCCTCGCTCATATTGTCACTGAAGTTCTCTCAGTCCTGACCGCCGCCCCCTCACCTCCGGAGCCTGACCGCTACCCCACAGAACCCACTCCCAGCTCCACCATCCCCTCTGATATCCCAGAATTCCTCTTCTCCACACCCTCTAACCCCTGATCGTAGGCGGATTCCCAGCGCTGAAGCGCTCCTGATGGAAAACTGAGGGCTCCATGAACTCCATGATTTACAGGAGACACATCGGACCCTGAGGGACTCAAAGACACAGAGAGAGAAAGTGAGAAAGAGAGATAAACCTTCAAAATGGACATTTCGGGTAAAAGGAAAGACAGCGAAAGAGAGAGAGAATAAGAAAAACAAAGCTAATCAGCTGCAGCTTTTCGAATTGCGGTTCATACATTCGTTTGACAATTAATAGGGGCAAAAAAAGACTGCTTTTTTCCTTTTTTTTGTTGTTTTTTGGTCCTTACTTCCTTATCTATGCTCTTTTTCTTCACAAACGCGGTATCTCCTCTTTCTATATTTTAAATGTTGTAAAGGGAATGTGTTTCATTTTTTGGGGTGATTCTAAAAATCAAAAAAGACTGGGTTCTAAGAAGTATCCGTGGCTTTTTTGTGCAAATCAAATCATGAACACTTGGTGTATTTGTAAAACTATCATGTATGTATGCATGTAAATGTTTTTTGTCCCAACGTGGCTACCGTACATTCTCCACCTGACACACAGCTAACCCCTCCCCCGTCCCCTCCTTATCTGAACCCTGAACACGGCGACAGACACACAAAAAAAGCTCATAGCCGTCAACTTATAAATGCTGAATGAGAGAGAAATCTATTTGTGATATTTTCAGAGACATTTGCTCCAGTATGGTGTATTTAATTAATAAAAAAAGTTAAGATTAAAAAGGCACGTCCTTTTTTTCAATCTTATCCAACGTTTTCATTGCTTTTTTTCTGCATCGGGGTTCTGATTACAGTATTTGGCACCGTGAGAAGCTCATGAAAAGTTTACATGCACTTTGGTTGAAATGAGGTCTGTGTGCTATGAGTAATTGGTACGAATTCATTAAGGCCAAACTTCTTCTTCTTCTTCTTAATGTTCTTCTGAGATCTCTCTATATAGATTACCTATGGTATCTAAAAGAGCACACTCCACATTCATTTTTCCATCAGGAGGCCCAAGTGCTTTGTATTATCACAGCAATTTATCTCATCTGTTCCCTAAGAGTTTCTCCAGAGAAAAGGGCTCATTAGCAAAACTATGCTTTTTCATTAACCTTCCTGAATGTAGTGCCGTCTCCAACCATCTATCTCTCCCTCCATTGTGTCTCTCCGGCTTTCTCTGCAGTAATTATGAATGCAGATGATGGGGTGGCTAATTGAAAACGGATAAACATGTATCCTTGGTCCCCTTTTCAAACGAACATGCTACTTGTGGCTGCGAATGCGGCGAAGGGGGAAAAAAAATGCCCCTTTGAAGATTCAATTACCGTGGGGGGAGAGAAAGGTGTTTCGGCGCGGCCTGAATGGACTATTTACAGAACAAATCGCCGTTTGAAGCTGTTGCTCGACCTAATGGGTATGAAGGGGTTTCTGATTAGCATACGCAGAAAAGCCTGGCTGGGGTCCGCCTCAGTCATTAGACAGGTGGATCTTAACAGCACAAGGGCCAAATCTGACTGTATGGTTGGCAAATTTGATCATAAACATAGTCATTTAGTAAACCCTGGGCTGAGCTGTAATTCTGATTTGAGAGAAGTTTTCCCGTCTGTGTTTGAAACTGAAGGTGGGTGATATGGCAAAAAAAATTACATCATAATACTTGAATGAAGATGTGTGTTTTCACGATACACAATATGCATTACAATATTTAGGTTTGAAATCCAACATAGTCATAAAAAGACTATGGAAAGACTATGAAAATCTATTGATGTAATAATGATTTTTATTTTACTTTGCAAAAATGAACTATTTAATAATGAACAGTGAAAGCAAATTAACCAATTAGGAAAAAAGCTAGTCAATATTTATAAAATGGCTTTTTGGGTTTAACTGCTATTATTACTGCAGTACACAAGTTTTTGATGTAAAGAAAGCTGCAGTTATGCCATCCATTTTGTCCTGGCATGATCATCTTTGTGGAGATGTGTGTTTTCACCCCTGCTCTTTCACTCCTCATTGCTCACTGGCAACTCAACACAGAGTCATAACTTTTCACTCACAAAGAGCCAACAGTATCCATGCTAATCTGATAACAGAGTTAGGGAAAAAATAGTTCATCCAATTATATTCATGACAAAATTTTGGCAGAATGACCACTAAGGGGCCTGCAGAAAGAGGCTGCAGGCTTCCTATGATTCTGTAACTCTTTTTATGATATATGCAGTTGTTCAGTACTGATGTTAAACACAACATAGTCAGAAGAGTGTATCTATACACACTATGGCACAATAACAGTAACATATTGTCATCTCCCTCCCTTATTTAGAACCGCAGCTGATGAATTTCAGTTTAAACATGGCCTTGACGCAGCAGGTTCCTGTTCCTTACAGGAACATTTCCAAGAAATTCACATTCTTCAACAAATTTGCCAAGTGTGGCACTTCTCTCTGGTTTCTCTGATGTAGTTTTCAACACCCTTCATGGTGGTGATCATGTTGTATAGGTGAACACCGCTGTGGCTCTATTGCATATTAGCTGCAGGCCTGCTGAGTTCTTGGCATTTTTTGAATGTTTTCTGACAAAAAAGAAAAAACTGATGAGAGGAAAGAACGAGGAGAATTCAGCTGAACCGTGGGAGAAAAAAGGCACCATGCTCCCCCACACATGCACTCTTTTATGTCTTCATTAGAGAGACGTGAAATGCGCAGGGCTGGTAGATGTAGCGCTCAAAAGTGAACCTGCTTAGAAACTGCATGAGGAATTGAAGTCAGTGTTAACGCACTCTGCGCGCCTAAGTGCTTTAACAGTTTGGTTTAGCTGTGAAACTCGAGGAACGTCTCTGGCCTTCATTCTCGCACTGGGCAGGAAGTGAAAGTGCAGTTTGACTCACAGGCTGCAGGACTGTTTCACACGAGTATTGTCCTAAAGAGCACAAGGGGGTGTGTGAGTGTGTGTGTGTGTGTGTGTGTGTGTGTGTGTGTGTGTGTGTTGTCACACATTTTTGAGACAAAAATATCCTGACTTTGTAGGAAAACCAGAGGACCACCATACTGACCCACAGAACCAGTAAAGGCTCCTGACTTTCAAAGTGCTTTTTATAAACATTTCCTGTTTCTTTGTTTAATTGAAGTGAATGGAAAATACATACATATTCTTGGGGCATATTATTATGACATATAGGTACTCATATATCATCACTATCAGATCTCCAAAAAAAAGTACCGTTACATGAAAAGATTCTCAACTTTTAATGTAAGTTAATGTAACAATATTTTATACAAATTACTTTTGGGCCATTTCTATTGCTCCATTCATCATGAACTTTTGACACAGTGTAAACGGCAGCTGGCATCTAAAAAACACTATTTAGGCAGTAAATGATTATTTTCTCATGTATGTTAATGTGTTTATTTGTTCATTTCCAAAGTTTTCCCCAAGAACAGCCTGTATTATTGTAGTTATAATCCAATACCTGGTTTGGCTAATCAGTTCACTTCATTGAATTAAATCTTAAATCTTGAAAAATGTGGAAGTGTTGGAATCGAACAAATCCATGCAATGGCTGGAAGCATCAAGGAGAAACCTGGAAGTAAGCCAGTGTTCTTCTAACCAGCTCCCAAGATATCAACTACTCTTTGAAAACAAGTTCTTGTTTGTTTGCAGTTATTGTAATATTACACGTTTTTACAAACAAAACTACACTTGTCCAGATCAATAGTTTTAAGGTGTCTATATTTTGTATACATTCTATGTATATAATATATATTGATATGAGGCATATTATTATTGCATATCAGTATTTCAATATTGTCGCGGTTAGATCAAAACCTCTTGTTCATAATTTATTTTTACACCAAATGAAAACACCAGCAACTTTACACTGTGTGTAAATTTCATGATGAATGGACCAGTCGGAATGGTGGTAAGTTTATATGAATAAAAAAATCTTACATTAACAGACATTAAAAGTTAAGAATGTTTTTCCTTCTGCTGAAAAGTTACCATTTCAGAGATTGTCCTGACTGTGGTGACATGTATTTAATACACATGGGACATACTCTTATTACATATAGATACTTACATATAATACATATGGAACTTATTATTATTAAATAGTCTTTATGTAGAGGTTTTGGCGCTTTGGGTAAAAGTTTTGTTGATTTAAGTGAAAATAAGTCAACACTGATTAGCTGAACTAGATAGTGGATAGTGACTGTAAATACCGGGCTCCTTTGAGGAGAGCATACGATTACAGAGAACATGCTTCTGCACATTTTAATGCACAATTACTGAGTTTAACATATTGAAAAAAACAAACAAAAAAAAAACATAAAAAGTGGGCTGCGCAGATGCTGTGCCACATTTTTGGCACAAATATGGCAGAAAAAAGACATATTTAAGTTTGTTCTGTGTGGAGGATGTGTTAACTTATATCACAACAAAACATGTAATTCAACCAGGAGTGTTCAAACTTTTGCAAATGGCTTTATACAGTCCTGTGCAAAAGTCTTAGGCATCTGAAAAAATTACACATAAAGCTATGTATCTGGCCAGTTAGCATTTTGCTGCTGTCGGAACAAAACCTTGTATCTCCATTTTTGTTGTTTTTCAGTTTTTGACATCATTTGAAAATGCCTGATGCCCTTTACATTGTGTGTAAATTTCATGATAAATGGACCAAAAGAAACAGCCCAAAATTACCTTAAAAAAGTCTGGTTCCATTGACTTACATTAAAAGTATGTTTTTCATTCTACTGTAAAGTTACCATTTTGGAGATACAAGGTTTTGTTCAGACAACAGCGATTTATTTGTTAAAGAAACAGTAATGAGAGAATTAATACAAATAGACAAATAAGCAGTTCACTGTGGTTTTGTGTGTGAGTGTGTTTGCTTCCCAAAGCTCTCCTCGTTTACAGTTACCATCCAGTATCTAGTTCAGCTAATCAGTCCTTCATTAAATTAAATCAGGTGCTGCTGATGGAATTGAACAGTTCCATGCAGTGACTGGAGTGCAGCAAGAAGTTCCTATAACTGCATTCTTCTAACCAATCAATTACTAAGTTTACTGAAAACAAAACATTCTTACTACGTTATATTGCATTTCTGTTTGTATTCATTCTAATGTTATATTTTTTTTACTATCAAAGACATACATACTGACAAAATAAATTGTTTTAAACAATTTCATGGCTGCTTACTTTTCAAAAAAGGACTACTTCATATAGATATGGAACTGATGGGAAAAAAGGGGTCCACCAATTTTTCTAAATTTCTGTATAATCAAATGGTTACATGTAAACAAAGTCATTTAGGGTGGTTTGATATTACATCATCCATTCCAGAGAAAACAAGTCATTGTTCACAGTGTTGCTGATACGAGCCAAACGTCTGAAGAGTTTAATGCTTCTAAAAGCTCCCTCACAGAAAAGTGATTACAGGAAATACACTACCTGATGCCTTAGACACTGTTTAACAATAGTTTTGAGATAGGCTTTTGGTCTAAAATGCTTTCTTTTAATATATCGCATGGTGTAGAGGTACATAAAGGGTGTTGTAGGGCAAACTAGTCCCCAAACAAACAATTTTTGGCTATTTTACCGTTATCAACATTACACATACAACTCAGAAGACACGTGTAGGTTCACTGGTGATTTTAGATAGTAAATAAAATGGTGATATCTGTGTGGTAAACATCTCAACCTCTGATTCCAGCTCAGTTTGGACCATTTCTATTGATCTGTCCATCATGAAAGTAACACTTTTAAAA